TTAATAAAATGTTTCAAAACATAATTTATTCTTAAATTGATTTCATTATTATGTAAATAAAATATCTCTATTTTATAAACAATCTCATCAAAAGTCAAACATTTAATTAATAATTATAATAATTTAATGTTTAAATTAAAGCAAATCTATTAAGAAAAAAATCTTAAATTCTTACCCAACCAATAGATCTTTCCTTTGCACTTTGTAAATAGTATTAACATAAATATTTCCCTTGTAAAACTCTTTAGTAAAAACATAAATAATTAAAACTCAAATTACTTTACACGTTAAATTCACATTTTAAATAATATTCTGTAGATAGTAGAAGAAAGGATAATAATGAATGAATAATTTAATAGAAATCATTTTTATGGTTAAGTGTATGTTTGTAAGTGTGCTTGTGCTTGTGTGTGTGTGTAAAACTGTAATTGTAAGTGTTCGTGCAAGTGTGTATTTTAAGTTATATGTATACCTGTGGCATTTCAAAATTTTAAGTTTTTCTTTATGTTTGTTCTAATGAAAATTTAATTACAAATGTTATTTTGTGGTTGATTAATTGAAATGAGGTTTCTTTAATATTAAATGAAATATGGGAATCAGTTGAGTGTGATTGCTAAAGAGTGTGAGTTGTTTTTGTGTTGAAATAAAATGATAGATATAGTTAAATGTAGATAGTTAGTTTATATGGAAATTGCGTGTTGTATACAAAAAAAGGAGACTTCTGTTGGTTGTCGTCGTTGATTTTATTATTATTATTTTATAACATTTGTGTATATGTATTGGTTATGGCCAGTATTTCTGTTGTCTGTGTGTATATATTTTAGATTTACGTGTATTTTAGTATTTTCAGTTTTATGTACTTCAATTTGTTTAATTAATTAGAAAATGTTTTCAATAGTTGGTTTATCTTGTTCTCTTATGCAGGGCATTACAAAAATTGAAGTATAAAATCTAAGGTTTTGCTGTTGGAATAAAAACCTAAACATTTGTGGGTTTTTCCCCCTTTTATATACTAATTAGTTTAATTAGACATGATTTTCTAAAGCTAAACGGTGGGCTTTATGAGTAAAGGTAGTTATTTTCTGTGTTTGGCTAAAGTTTGTTATAAATTAAGCCCTAAAGTAGGCAGTTGTTTCTGTGTAATGTCAAGGAACTTAGCAGTCCCAAATGTAGGCAATTCTGTTTACTATAGTCATATAAAATTGGTAATACAAAAAGTCATATAAATAAATTAATGAAAGTTAATTGGATTAGAATTTTCTGAGAAATTATAATTGAATTGCAGAATTATAATTTTTTGCCGGATTTTTTTCACCAAAAATACTATTTTCATTTGAACATGCAGACATTAAATTAAAGAAAACTTTAAGTATAAACTAAATAATGTATTTTTTTCACAATCTATATAAAATTATGCCTTAAATTAGGCAACACTTATCTAACCCTTATAGTATGCCTTACTCTTTTCCCTTGCAATTGTATGTTTATTTATTACACTTCATAAATTGAATTGTTATGTTCATTGCCTTTTATTTTTTTCAATTCCTTATTCTTAATAATTTGAACTCATAATAAAAATACTTTTCAATTTCCCAGTCTTATGATATGCATTTAGTTTCATTTTATTATTGCCTACAATTTAGCTAAAATAGCAGCAGTTCACAAAGAAAAAAATAAACTGTTTTGTCATTTCATAACCTTCACAAAATTGACTCCTTCTTAGAGAAAACGAAGAAAATACGTGAATTCATAGTTGACATTTCAAAGATGCTAAAGCACAACGAGAGACACTGCAAAGACACAGACGCCAAGCAATTCAGAAAGACAATGTTTAAGTCTCTAAGAAGGGCGAGGTGGAAAAAAAACTTAAAATTATCCTTTACTTATAACGAATGAGCTTCATTTTCTTATTATTCCCCTAAGGGAGGTAAGAAAATGAAGCAGCAAGGAGAGCATAGAACATGTCTGTCTATGAATGAATGAGTTTAAGTAAAAACAATTGCGGTACTTTAAGACACAATTGTCAAAAGTTCAAACAAAACTTCTCTACAATTGTGCTTCCCCTACGCCCTATAACTGAAGGCAATGAGGTGGTGCCTCTTACTAAAGTGTGGTAAATTTTAGAGTGTTGTTGTACTATATATGAGTTGTGATAAATTCCCTGACACCATAACACCAACGCCGCTGCTCTAGACTAGCTGTTGTTGTCATTTTAAATAATTTTTCTGTTTTATTTGTATGACTGTTGTCTTTTTTTATTTTATGATTATTTTTGTTAAAAACATTTAAAGAAAAGCAGTTGCCACAGTTAGAGACAAACACTCTTTGTAGCGTACAAATAATCCTTGGGGTCCTGTTTTTATTATGGTGTGTGTATGTTCAGTGGGGGTAATAACAACAAAGTATTTGCAATGAAAGTATTTGACATTTGTCAGCGCATTTCTGTGTTTAAATAAGCTCAAGTGGCTGTCAGTAATATTACACAAGATGAGTCTTATGCCAGCAGCCCCTCTATATGTAGTGTTTGACTGTTGGGTTAAAGTGTCTATAGCTGGGTTTTGTTTTGTGCCGTTTTAAAGTTAAAGGGTTAAGTAAATTAGTTATTAGTCTTGTAAATAGGCCTGCTTAGTCTTAAGCATTCTTAGTTTATTTTCATTTTGTTTTTTAACTCAAACTACAGCTAATTGTTAATTAGTGTCAGCATCAGTTATTCCCTTTTAACTATACTAAAAATGTATAGTATATTTTAAGGCTGTTAAGAGTATTGTATTGTTGTGTATTTACCAGAATTGTTTGCAAAACATTACCACGTTAAGCAGGAAATAAATACAACAACAAATATAAAAATTTTAATGTTTATAAAATATTTAAAAGTTCTTGTTGGTTTTTATTCTTCTTCTCTAAAAGTCTTAAGATATATATATATTTTTTTCTTAGTTTTATTTGCTTTTTTATAAAAGTCTTATGTAAGTTTGTGGGGTTTTCATGGCCGGAAACCAAGCGTCAAAAGTTTTCTTATGCCTTATGGAATTGAAGTGTTAATTAATATTGAAAAGGATAAAAGTTTTTTGACTTTCATTCTTTACTGTGTATACTTTCCCCCTCCCCTTACAGGTCTCTGTCTTTCTATCTCTTACTCAACAAAGCAAATTAAAAAGGTTTTAGGCGTCTTAAATAGTAAAGTAAGAAAAAATTTATTAAAAAAAGGAATATCTTCACATGTTTGCAAAAGTAACCGAATATTAAAATTAAAAAAAAGGGGTAATAGATTTTTTTACTTACACTCTAAAAAAAAGGTAATTATCCTTTATCAAAGTATAAGAAAAATTTAAGTTTTTTCTTTATTAAATTAAAATCTATTGTTAATATCCCTTTTCTTAAACATAAAAGGTCAATGGGTTTTAGGTATCTGCACTTTTTGTTAACGCCAACTCACGGTAATGGAGAAAAAGTGCTGAAGGAAAAATTACATTGTCGATATTATATAGATGCATAAGTAACGTCTAGTCAGGGATAATGTTAATGGTTAAAGCGTGATGATTATATTTTTTATATTTATAAGAATATATTTTTAGATTCAAGGTAAAAGGTGTGATTACATTCTAAAGGGGAAGGTAAAAATTGCTTTAAAAACCATTTAAACATTAATAAACAAGATCGAAACAAAAGTGAAGTACGTCACGACACAGGTTGAACTAGAACTGAATTATAACTGAACTAGAACTGAACTAGAACTGAACTAGAACTGAACTAGAACTAGAACTGAACTAGAACTGAACTAGAACTGAACTAGAACTGAACTAGAACTGAACTAGAACTGAACTAGAACTGAACTAGAACTGAAACTAGAACTGAACTAGAACTGAACTAGAACTGAACTAGAACTGAACTAGAACTGAACTAGAACTGAACTAGAACTGAACTAGAACTGAACTAGAACTAGAACTGAACTAGAACTGAACTAGAACTGAACTAGAACTGAACTAGAACTGAACTAGAACTGAACTAGAACTGAACTAGAATGAACTAGAACTGAACTAGAACTGAACTAGAACTGAACTAGAACTGAACTAGAACTGAACTAGAACTGAACTAGAACTGAACTAGAACTGAACTAGAACTGAACTAGAACTGAACTAGAACTGAACTAGAACTGAACTAGAACTGAACTAGAACTGAACTAGAACTGAACTAGAACTGAACTAGAACTGAACTAGAACTGAACTAGAACTGAACTAGAACTGAACTAGAACTGAACTAGAACTGAACTAGAACTGAACTAGAACTGAACTAGAACTGAACTAGAACTGAACTAGAACTGAACTAGAACTGAACTAGAACTGAACTAGAACTGAACTAGAACTGAACTAGAACTGAACTAGAACTGAACTAGAACTGAACTAGAACTGAACTAGAACTGAACTAGAACTGAACTAGAACTGAACTAGAACTGAACTAGAACTAGAACTAGAACTGAACTAGAACTGAACTAGAACTGAACTAGAACTGAACTAGAACTGAAATAGAACTGAACTAGAACTGAACTAAAACTGAACTAGAACTGAATTAGAACAGATCTAGTTTAAATTTATCATAGTAAAGACATTAAATATTTAAGAAAAGAATGTATAAGAGAATTCTGCAAAGCTAAGATTTTTTAAAAAATTTGAATGAAATTATAAAATTTTACTGACATTATAATTTTTAAGATATATGACAAAGTTTAAAAATGATATAAGAAAAATTCCTTAGAATCGTATTACTTCAACAAATTTCGAACTAATTCTTATAGCTAAAGTAAAATTACAAATAGTAAGCTACTTTGCTAAAGTCTACAAAAAAGGATATATGAAAAAATTCTTCAAAAAATTAGTTAAATAAAATTTCTTTAAATATTTAGAAAGCTTACACAAACCTACTTATCGTAAGCTAAATAAACACTTAATTTTTTTATGCTTGAAAATTTTTTAGTTTTTTTCTTAATTAACAAAATTGCTTACGTTTTGTGTTTTGTTTAAGTTACTTTAGAAACTTTGAATACCGCACTCTGCTATAGTTATATATTGATATCTTTTCAATGGTAGCTGTAGTTGTTGTTTGGTAGTAGTTTATAATCCTTGTAGTAGTTTTAGTTAAGTTGCAGTAGATTTTTTCTTTAAAATTAATTAAGATCCCTGTAGTATTATTGTTACTTTTTTCTTTTTAATAAGTTATATAGTTAAATCACAAAAGTTACTTTGGCTTAATTTTAAATAATTGAACTTTGTTGTCGGTTTCTTTGGTTTTTTGTAATTTTAAACGAAAAAAAGCTCCTGCTACATTAGGCACCTTTACTTAAAGAAATTTAACTATTTACAGTTTTAACTTAATTTTACAAAAATGGTCGTTTTAAAAACTTTGGTACCTTAAGTTATGCGAGTTTTTTATTATAAAAATTGTATTTAATGTTTTTTTTTAATTTTTATTAAAATATTTTTAAAGTTGTTGCTATTTTTCAGCTGTGGTCATGTGCATCCTGTGCGCAGCCTGAGTTTGCACTTTTTCTTTTATAGTTTTTTTTTACTATTATTTTATTTACGTATTTGTTTGCGTTCGAGTTTTTTTCAGTTCGTTTTTTTAAATATTTATTTTGGTTGCGTTACATATCATTTAATTTCATTTCATTGACATTGTGTGTGTGTGTAAAGTAGAATTTGCTCTTTATATAACCTTGCATATGCCAGCAGTTATAGCTGTAGCTGTATGTGTTTTCATACTAGCAGCAGTGTTTTTGTAGCAGCGGCAGTTCAAAGTTGACACAGCATCGTCATCATCATTTAAGCTGCACGTTTTTTTACGGTCTGTAAAAGTACAGAGAATTGGTAAAAAAGAAAGATTTTGTTAAATATCAATTTCAATTTTTTTTTGTATTTTTGGTTTAATACTGTTCATTGAGACATGTAGTAGTAGTAGTATAGAGAGGAATACAAGTATAAAAATTCAAATTACTACACAGCAAACTGCACGAAAAACACACATTTAAAAAAGTTTGTAAATTGTTTTTTATTTAATTTTTTTATTATGATTATTCTTTTTATTTAAATTATTCTTTGGTTTATTTATTTGGGTGAGAGCACACAACACTGAAATAAAATAAATTTTTTTAACAACAAAATTTTGCTTTTTAATAAATTTGTTAAACAAATTTTTCAACATTTTTTTTTTTGTACGTTAACTGTTTTTTTAGCCAATAGTAACAACAATTTGTGGTAGATAATATTTTTGTTTAAAAAAATATATATGTAAATGTATAAGTATTACGCACAACATCGAAAAGTAACAACAACATTTAAAAATAAATTAATTACTCTATTATTTATGGTTTTATTTTTATATATAAATATGTATGTATTTATGAATTTAAATATATAGAACACAACTGAATACATAATCACCGTAAGCACCAAAGTTTATAAATTGTTGAACAATAAATTATTAGAATAAATATATTTTTGTTTTTGTATGTATCAATAATGTAACAAATACAACATTTATAAATTAAAACATAAAGTTGGTAATAAAGCTACAAAAAACACATTTTTTGTTCAAAAAAGTTAATTATTACACACATTTCAAAATATATATGTAAATGTTTAAGAAAATATGTCAATTTAATTATAAATACTTCTTAAATATCTACTATTATCTAAACTCTGAATTAGATTTCTTGAAATCAACTAGAATTGAACTAGAATTGAACTAGAACTGAACTAGAACTGAACTAGAACTGAACTAGAACTGAACTGAACTAGAACTGAACTAGAACTGAACTAGAACTGAACTAGAACTGAACTAGAACTGAACCAGAACTGAACTAGAACTGAACTAGAACTGAACTAGAACTGAACTAGAACTGAACTAGAACTGAATTAGAATTGAACTAGAATTGAACTAGAACTGAACTAGAACTGAACTAGAACTGATCTAGAACTGAACTAGAACTGAACTAGACCTGAACTAGAACTGAACTAGAACTGAACTAGAACTGAACTAGAACTGAACTAGAACTGAACTAGAACTGAAGTAGAACTGAACTTGAACTGAACTAGTACTGAACAAGAACTGAAATAGAACTGAACTAGAACTGAACTAGAACTAAACTAGAACTGAACTAGAACTGAACTAGAACTGAACTAGAACTGAACTAGAACTGAACTAGAACTGAACTAGAACTGAAGTAGAACTGAACTTGAACTGAACTAGTACTGAACAAGAACTGAACTAGAACTGAACTAGAACTGAACTAGAACTGAACTAGAACTGAACTAGAACTGAACTAGAACTGAACTAAAACTGAACTAGAACTGAACTAGAACTGAACTAGAACTGAACTAGAACTGAACTAGAACTGAAAAATTCATCATTTCCTTAAACACTAATTATCAAATAAAGAATATATAACCAACATCCGTATTTCCTTAAATAATTAAAAAAATTATAACAATTTTCCTAAAAGCCCACAAAATCACAAATTGTTACATAATTTGATTTTTAACATCAAGTCTATTTTGTGTGAAATTTGCAATTGAAATGAAAATAAAAAAAAAAACCGTTGAATGTATTTCAACAAAATAATATTGATTAGTACTTTGTTAAAGTACAAACCTTACAAATTAAATTTCTTGTTCCTCTTCTTTTTTCTAAATTTAATTATTTCTTTACAATGTATTCGACTTTTTTGTGCTTAATTTTGTGTACGCTGCCTTCGTTTACCCTCAAAAACCTCAACCCTTATAGTTCGGTTGGGTTTTACATTAAATGTTAAAGTCTTAACACTTGTCATTCACATTACGTGCTTCACTTCATTTGCGCTTTGTGCGCCTTTCATTTAGCCAACATACATATATTCTCTTTCTACATGGGAATGTAAGTATGTATACGAGAGTGTTAGTAAATGAATACCCTCACCGTTCTTCCTTCTTGTTGTATAAATTTTAATTTAATTTTTGCGGTTTATATGTATGTACGAGTTCGAGTGTGTGGATTTTTTATTCTGTTAGTTCAGCGCAATTAATTGAACTTTGCAGCTTAATATTGATGTTAAAGAAGCCCTGTGTTTTATTATTTTCTATTTTTTTTTTTCATCAGTTTCTGTTTTAGAAATTTTCCCTCCCGTTGTTTCCATACGCTTTATATTCCTCGCTTTATGGTGTTTTTCATTAAGACAAATACATACACATTGAGAAACTCTCACACATACATACATATTCTCTAATAACAATTGACATGCTTTTGCCTTGAGTTCAGCTCAGTTGAGTTGTGGTTCTTTTCTCTATGTTACGTTGAACTATTGGCATGTTATTTAAGTTATATTGTTTTCTTGTACTCATCTACGTGGCTAGGTTGAGAAATTTCCTAAACAAAACTAGAACAGAACTAGAACAGAACTAGAACAAAACTAGAACATAACTAGAACAGAACTAGAACAGAACTACAACAGACCTAGAACAGAACTAGAACAAAACTAGAACAGAACTAGAACAGAACTAGAACAGAACTAGAACAGAACTAGAACAGAACTAGAACAGAACTAGAACAGAACTAGAACAGAACTAGAACAGAACTAGAACAGAACTAGAACAGAACTAGAACAGAACTAGAACAGAACTAGAACAGAACTAGAACAGAACTTGAACAGAACTAGAACTAGAACAGAACTAGAACAGAACTAGAACAGAACTAGAACAGAACTAGAACAGAACTAGAACAGAACTAGGACAGAACTAGAACAGAACTAGAACAGAACTAGAACAGAAACTAGAACAGAACTAGAACAGAACTAGAACAGAACTAGAACAGAACTAGAACAGAACTAGAACAGAACTAGAACAGAACTAGAACAGAACTAGAACAGAACTAGAACAGAACTAGAACAGAACTAGAACAGAACTAGAACAGAACTAGAACTAGAACAGAACAGAACTAGAAACAGAACTAGAACAGAACTAGAACTAGAACTAGAACAGAACTAGAACAGAACTAGAACAGAACTAGAACAGAACTAGAACAGAACTAGAACAGAACTAGAACAGAACTAGAACAGAACTAGAACAGAACTAGAACAGAACTAGAACAGAACTAGAACAGAACTAGAACAGAACTAGAACAGAACTAGAACTAGAACAGAACTAGAACAGAACTAGAACTAGAACAGAACTAGAACAGAACTAGAACAGAACTAGAACAGAACTAGAACAGAACTAGAACAGAACTAGAACAGAACTAGAACAGAACTAGAACAGAACTAGAACAGAACTAGAACAGAACTAGAACAGAACTAGAACAGAACTAAAACAGACCTAGAACAGAACTAGAACAGAACTAGAACGAACTAGAACAGAACTAGAACAGAACTAGAACAGAACTAGAACAGAACTAGAACAGAACTAGAAACAGAACTAGAACAGAACTAGAACAGAACTAGAACAGAACTAGAACAGAACTAGAACAGAACTAGAACAGAACTAGAACAGAACTAGAACAGAACTAGAACAGAACTAGAACAGAACTAGAACAGAACTAGAACAGAACTAGAACTAGAACAGAACTAGAACAGAACTAGAACAGAACTAGAACAGAACTAGAACAGAACTAGAATAGAACTAGAACAGAACTAGAACAGAACTTAAGTAAAATAGGAAGACTTTTCAAATATTCCACTCATCCAGAACATAATCATTCGTTAGTTAGTGGGTAAGTGTTTGTGTAAATGAATTGTTTAAAAGAATTTGTTGCTTTTGGTATTATGTTAGCTTAACAGCAGCAACTTGTTATACGTTTCAAGAACAATATAAACAACGTCAGAAACAACAAATACACAAACAATAGTCATAACAAGATTTTCCAACAATTTATGTAATAGAAAAAACACTATAACACCACTACTAAAGCCAAACTCATGTACCCAAACATACACATGTACATATGTATGTATGTATGTATGTATGTATGTATGTATGTATGTATGTATGTATGTATGTATGTATGTATGTATGTATGTATGTATGTATGTATGTATGTATGTATGTATGTATGTATGTATGTATGTATGTATGTATGTATGTATGTATGTATGTATGTATGTATGTATGTATGTATGTATGTATGTATGTATGTATGTATGTATGTATGTATGTATGTATGTATGTATGTATGTATGTATGTATGTATGTATATTGTAATAAAAAAAGGAAATTCGCGTCTCGTCTGTTGTTGATTAATTTCGATTGTGTATGTTTTTACATTCTGCTGCTCCTCCTCAGACTGCAACCGAAAGAAACCTTTATTTTTAAAGCAAGTAAATGCTTGAAGAAACTATATTAAGGGGCGTGTGAATGGTAGGATGTGGGATTTTATAATGAAATTCAATATCTTATGGCCAAATAGACGAAATCCGTATGAGAAAAGTAAATAAATAGAAAAACAGCAAACTATACCACTGGCTAAAAAAAAACATTGAAAACAACAACAACTATACAAAACAGTATGATGATATTTTAGTTTACCGAGTTTAGGTTTTTTTTGCTATGATGAGGTCTGGTATATAGTATAGTAAAATGGTCTGGTTTGGTAACGAATTGGTTTGGCTTATATAAGTTTTGGTTTTATTTTACAGCTAAAGCTTAACGAGTTTATTGTCCTCTCTAGTATTTTGTTTTTATTTGTTGTAGAAGAATACGTTTTCTTTTTTTTTGCATTGTTGGAAGGAAAATAGAATTAGTAAGAACACTCATCCATCAGTTTAGTCAAAAAATAAGTTAAACATAGAAATACAAACACTAAGTTTTGATGTTTTTGTTTGTCTAGCATACAATA